AGGACAAGAAGCAATGGGTGGAAACTAATTAAGGAGAGAAGCAACTTAGAACTAAGGAGAAATTTCCCGACAGAACAATTAACCAGTGGAACAACTTGCCTTCAGAAGTTGTGGGTGGTCCAAAACTGGAGGTTTTTAAGAAGAGATTTGCCTGAAATAGTATAGGGTCTCCTGCTTGAACAGGGGGTTGGACTAGAAGACCTCCAAGGTCCCTTCCAACTCTGTTATTCCATTATTCTGAGCAGAATGATAGCAGGCTAAAGACTAAGAAGTACAACCATACAATTGGCACTTAACTGCCACATGGCTTAATGACTACCTATAGTTTTTTTTTCATTAATTTGGTTTGGATTTTTTTTAAAAAAGGTGTTTTGTTTTTTTAGAAGCTGCAACTTTACGGGACTTACCCTGGGATCCTTCTGAAGGAGAGTATGAGGAAGAGCTCCAGGTCTTGTCGCAACATCAATAGGATTTGAAGTCTGCAAATGTCACATGTAACATACATGAAACATATTATTTAAACATGCATAAATTTAAATGTAATCATTTTTTGGAAAGTGAGGGCACTCCGAGATAAATCCCACATTGCTTCAATGATGGCATACAAACTTTTCCTTCCTATTCCATTGTAGGAAGTTAGCACCCACACCTCTCCTAGAAGAATGAAATATTCTAGGAAATATTAAAAAGGCAGAAGATTATGTTTCCCTGGATGAGAAAAGGAGAAACTTGTTTTAAAGACAAAGCAGCTTCCTGCAGCTCCCTTCCCTCCCCCCCTTCAGTTCTAGGGTGATGGGGTTAAGATATGGCCCTCAGGACATGATAGGATTAGCCCTCTACCCATCTCACCACATGACACCTGGGAAGATTACATCACCCAACAAGGCTCAACCAAGCCTAGGACTCAGGACTGCCTGCAGAGTTGCCCCTGCATGGCCCCATGGGAGTCTGACAGCCAATCAGAATACAAGCTCAAATTCAAAAGCCCAGAGAGGGTATAAAACTTAGGCACTCTCAGCATCTCTTCCCTTTTTCTTCTTCTTCACCCAACATCTTCAAGGCACCTGATCCTGTCCACCTTTAAAACCATCTTTCCAAACAGCCACCATGTTTCCACTTTCTTTCTCTACACTTGGAACTGAACCCAGATGGACATTTCTTCCAACGGTCACATTTCTGTGAAACTGAGGATTAAACCCCACGTTGCTTCTATGATGGCATCTCCTCTTTTCCTTCCTATTCCCACATTTCTGTGAAGCTCAGGATTGAACCACATATTACTTCAGTGAGGTCATCTGATCTGCCCTGTTTTTCCAATCCATCTGAGAACAATGATGAGGTTTTGAAAGATATGGCCTGTTTTAACCTATGTATGTTTTAGTATATACCATATTTTTTGGAGTATGAGACGCACCTTTTTCCCTCAAAAAAGAGGATGAAAATCTGGGTGCGCCTTATACACCGAATGCAGCATTTTTGGCCTCCTGAAACCCTGCCCTCTTTGCAAAAACGGCTGTGCATAGCCTTTAGAATGCTTCCAGAGTGCTCTTGGGGGCTGGGGAGGGCAAAAATGACCAAAAATTGGGCCGTTTTTTGCTCCTCCCCGCTCCCAGAAGCACTATATAAGCCTCCTTATCTTTTTTTTGCTAAAAAATAGCCCTGTTTTTGGGAGGTCTGCATAGTGCAAAAAAAAATTTTTAATTGCCTCTTCAAAAGCTTGGTGTGTCTTATATTCTGGTGCGTCATATACTCCCAAAAATACGGTATATAATATACACTGTAATATGTATATAATATATACACTAAATATAACTATGGTTATATTTAATGATTATATTTAGTGTATATATCATATACATATAATGGTTAATATAACCATTGTATAATATAATGGTTATATTATATAAACAATAAATATAACCATAACCATTTGTCTGAAGTGCTGTAGGGTTTCCTGTCTAAGCAGGGGGTTGGACTAGAAGATCTTCAAGGTCCCTTCCAACTCTCTAATTCTATTCTGTTCTGCTCTATTCTATTCATGATTGTAAGCCACCCCGAGTTACCTGTGGTAAGATGGGCAGCCAATAAATTTGAGAGAGAGAGAGAGAGAGAGAGAGAGAGAGGGAGAAAGAGAGAGAGAGAGAGATTCTACATTTTAAATAGACTGAAGTGAAGGAATTTCAGAGTCTGAATGATGATTTAAAAGCTGATCTTTCTCCATTTTTCCTGCCCTATTTCTAACCACAGCATATGATTTCAACCCATGGACATATGTATTTCCCCTCTAAATCACAGACTGCAAGACAGTTCTTCCGTAAGAGCAAGGGATTCTGAAATCAAGAGAAAACCCTCTTTTTTCCTTAATATATATATATATATTCAGAAAACAACCCATTTACAATGCTATGGATGATTTAACTCAAATGGATTCTTAACAGACTGATTAGCATACATACGAAGGCCTCTGCTAATGAGCCATAATCTACATATTTAAGCAGTCTGAATCACTGTTAGTGGGGCTGCTGTTCACAGTGAGCAAACTTCACTGTGGTGGAGGTTACTGCAGTAACTACCAAGCAGTTGCTCCAAGACAGATAGGGGCAGGCCATGTTGTGTAAAAGCCAGGGGCTTTTGTGTCTGTATGTCAACTTGTAAGTTGCCTCAATCAGAGTCTGCTGCAGCCATCTTCAAGACCACGAAAAAGACCACCGTCGTCACCTATCTGGCATTGCCAGAGACCAAAAAGAGAGAGCTACCCACTCCCCTGCCAACAAGAATTGATTCACACCACAGAAACGCCTAAGCGATTCAGTTCACACTATGCAATCTAGGTTTACCTTGGGTTGAAACGCTCCTTGCAGCGAGCCGAAAGGACCAGTTGGAGGGATCATAGGAGGGATCCCAGACACAGCAGGAGGATAGGAGTGGAATAACTGTGTGGCAGAAAGAGATCAGTATTACTGATTTTATTCCCCCCCGCTCCTTTTTTTTTTTTTTTTACATACACAAGTCTTGCAGTTTCAATTGACAAGAGAGCAAAACAGATGCAAGCACGAATGAGGCGGTGAACTATGTATCCCCATGAAGGACCACTGATGCTTATTAATCTGTCGAGTACTAAGTGAAGGAGGAAATGATAAGCCCACAAAGAAATGAACAACGAAGACAGCAAAAGGTTACTCAACACATTGGTGGCACGCTAGACGAGAGATGATTGATATGGAAGGAAGAGCGTGGTTGAGCGAATGCGTCACGAGGCAGAACTACAGTAGATATAAAAATTATCTCCGCATTATGGAAAATGTGTGAGCACGGGGAAGGAGCTAGTGCAGAAAGATGACCTCCTTGTCAATTGCATTAGATACAGCGCTGAAATCATGGCATGCGAGTTTCAGTCCTAGCCCCAAAAGTCTTTTCATTGAACTTACAGGCAGCTTCTCAATGATTGCTGATACTTGGTAAGTACAATACAATTCAACATAATTCACCGATCCTCAAATGATGGCCTGCGGGCCATTTACAGCCCGCCAATGCAAAGTATCTAACCCGCGGAGTGGTGGGCTTCAGTCCCGCCTCTCGCCTGGCCCTCACCGTCGGCCTTATCTTCCAGCGAGCATTCACTCCAGCTGCACTTCCGGTTAGTTATTTCACCGGTTGAGCTGCACTTCTGATCACATGGCTGCTGCCGAAGAGAAGGCCGGAGGGTGCTGGGGAGGACCAGCTGACTGAGGGGTGATCTCGCCAGTGCAGCCACATGATCCAAGGCCAGTGGGTGAGTAGAGGAGGGGCTGCTGCTGGCTTGAAAAGCAGCTCAGCTGCCAGCTTGTAAAGTCTTTAAAAACACTTTAAAAACAGCCTTTCGGGATGTTTTTTCACAGCCATACAATCCAAGAGCGGTGGGTGAGTAGGGGAAGGGCAAGTACAGCAAAGACAAAGGCAAAATAGACTGCTAAATTGGCCACGCCCACTCAGTCACATGACCACCTAGCCACACACCCCCAGCTGGTCTGCCCCCCCCCAACAGTCTGAGGGACTGTGAATTGGCTCCGTTTAAAAAGTTTGAGGACCCCTGACTGAACAGTTGCAGGGTTGGTTAAAACAGAAGTGGGAAAATACAGGATGGAATTGACTTATTGATAAATATTTTTTTAATAAAACACATTTTTTAATTCTCTTTTTGCTTTGACCCGCACCCACTTATTGGTTATTCAGAATAACCGAATTGGAAGGGGCCTTGAAGGTCTTCTAGTCCAACCCTCTGCTCAAGTAGGAAACCCTATACCATTTCAGACAAATGGTTGTTTAATCTCTTCTGAAAAACTTCCAGTGTTGGAGCACCCAAAATTTCTGGAAGCAAGTCATTCCACTGGTTAATTGTTCTCACTGTCAGGAAATTTCTCCTTAGTTCTTGGTTGGTTCTTTCCTTGATGAGTTTCCATCCAATTCTTGTTTTGTTTTCAGGCGTTTTGGAGAAAAGGTTGACCCACTCTTCTTTGTGGCTGCCTTGCAGATTCTGATCACATGAGCCCTTAACCCTGCTATCCAATCAATATCTAACTCTCAATCTCTCCCAGAAAAGTAATGCATCCATGACTTAAATAATACAGATCATAGGAAGGTGTTCTTTGCACACTGGATTACTGCTTTACTTAGCTGAATAGAGATGTGCAAAATTCATTAATCCAGGAAAAGAACATTCTGCTTACTTTCAGAGAAATCTGTTTGCCTCCAGACCATACCCTTCCTTCCAGGGGAGAGAAGGGGGAATTCAACTGTTCTTATTTAACAGATTAACAGAGTTGGAAGGGACCTTGTAGGTCATCTAGTCCAATCCCCCCCCCCGCCCAAGCAGGAGACCCTACATCATTTCTGACAAATGGCAATCCAGTCTCTTCTTGAAAGCTTCCAATGATGAAGCTCCCATGACTTCTGAAGGCATTTTATTGCCGTTTAATTGCTCTCACTGTCAGAAAATTTCTCCTTATTTCCAGGTTGAATCTCTCCTTGATCAGTTTCCACCCATTATTCCTTGTCTGGCCTTCAAGTGCCTTGGAAAATAGCTTGACCCCCTCCTCTCTGGCTGATTCAACTATGGTCATTGGCTGTGGCAGCTATTTTCTTCCTTGAATAATTGAATT